TCCTGGAATTTTCGTCTGCCTCTCGATTCCTGGAATTTTCGTCTGCCTCTCGATTCCTGGAATTTTCGTCTACCTGACGATTCCTGGAATTTTCGTCTACCTGACGATTCCTGGAATTTTCGTCTTCCTCTCGATTTCTGGAATTTTCGTCTACCTCACGATTCCTGGAATTTTCGTCTACCTCTCGATTCCTGGACGGTCCCAGTATTCGTCCTGGCGATCCATTCGCGGAAGTGCGGAAATCATCCTCGGCTCTGGTTAATAACGAAGCCCGCTGGAATTGGTCGGCCGCCGTTTTAATCCCGCGTCATTACTCCCAACGACAATGGCGCCGCGTCGGGCCGCTCGTTCGCCCCTGGTCCGGAAACTCGGGAGTCGATTACCGGAAACGTTCCCGCGCCCAGGAGTGTCACCGCTATGGGGCAGCCACTGTTAACTCGAATTTGGATGGTCCCCCGTCAATGATGCACAGCCTCCATGAAAAGTCCCAATCGCTGAAGTCTTCGCGTACATCGCCTCGTCCACGAAGTGGTATAAGGCAATCCAACGCCATACATTGAAATCGTCCCCGCTTTAGGGGTCCAAGATGTTGAGATTTTTGTCTTATCTAATACCGAGAGAGCCTCCTCGATAGAATTTTGCAATTAAAAATTATCGTCTGTTAGCGCGTTCGCTGGTCTCTTTTGCGTTAAAAACATCACATTTTGCATATCATACGAGGATTATCGTATCACTTTGTGTACCTTAATCGCAAAATTAAGAGCATTTTAGGTAACTTACATCGATAGAAAGTATTTCGGTCAGGTAGGATTGAAGTTCCCTCATTATCCGCAAGTGGTGCTCGCATCGTTAGATCAGCGAACATCTGAGATCCTGGGTCCCGATTTTGGGGTCGTTTTCTGTGGAACTGACCATTGGCATTGTCTCCTTGTACTACTTCATGGCCTCGTCCTAAACAAGAATATGAACGGTAAACAGGGCGGATCAAAAATCGCGATTCTACCCGCTACTTTCGGTCCACTGAGTCATGGGGTTCGCAATATGTGGCCCAGGAGCGCGATCGGGTGGCGTCCTGGTGGACACCCTCGATTCCAGGGGTGATCCCCCTCCGGAGGACGTGACGCTTCTTATTGGCTCCCGGAGAGCCGTCGGTAATTAATAACGGCCCGGTACACGTTGTTCGGGCATATATACGCGGTATAAGGTACACGGGGTGATTTATGAAGGAGTAATGAAGCCCGCGCTACACGTCTCGGCCAGAAGAGCCGGGTAAGGCCGCACTCGGGTGCGGAGATAGGAACAGAGGGGAGAAGCTCGACCTCGAGAGAGACGCACCCGGGTTGGGAAGACGGTCCCCCGAGCAGGTGCAATAACGCTGCTGGGGCCCCAGCTGCGAGAGACGTCTAACGTCCAGAGTCGCGTGTTGCGCCATACTGGATGCCATTATGAGGGAGAAACCCCGGAAAACTAGGGGAGAGACTCTCGCGTGAGGCCATTCTCCATGCCGCTCCTCCTGCCGCGTCGCTCAAGGCGTGTTCGTCAAGAAGGAAAGAAAAAAAAAAAGAAGAAAATACAGAGTGATACACAGAGAAAGAATTAAGCCGATTGATCGACAAATAGAGCGATATTTTCTTGGAAGACACCCCCCGGCAGGTGCATCGAAACATCTTGGAGAATCGTTTAAAAAGAAGAGACTTCCAAGAGTTCACCTCCAATCCTCGGATCAATTCTTGAGAAAAAATTCCCTTCTCTGGTGTTCCATTCCCGTAATTTTGGTTCTGAACCCGCATCGACAATTTTCATAAAAAAAATGGATTTTCTGTAAAACTGGATTTTCCTTCAAACTAGTAACAGTGGGGAGAGTATAATGTAACATAGAACTGCGATACGAAAACCCGTCGCATTTTGTACTTAACCCACCCGTATTCTTCATCGCGACGCTTTTTCCTGTCGCGAATTAGGCTTACCCCCTGCCAAAAGAAGTTTCGCTTTAAAAAGGATTTTCTTGGAAACATTGATTGTCTTAAATGATTTCTCGTAAAAAATGGTATCGAGAAAGGGGAGGCGAAGGGGCAGAAACGTGCCCTTTGGTATCGGGGCGGCGGCAATGGCCATGCGTTTTGGAGACTCGTTTGCTTAATTGCCGTGATTACTCGGGCCGGAGAGGACCGACAATGCAAGAGAGAGAGAGACAGAGGCAAAGAGAGGGGTGGGGTCGTGCACCAAGTTCCCGGACTCGTTTTGCATCGCACGACCTATAATTCGCAGGCGAGTCGAACGGGCCAGAGGAAGGTGCACGCGTCGTGTCGGCACTCGCTCTCTCTCTCTCTCTCTCTCTTTCTCGTCGCAAACTGCATGGTACGTGACGTGCCGGCGAGCTCTGCGACAAACCGGAGCCGCACGCACGCGGCCCGACTTTAATGCGAATTCCTTTTGCCCTTATTCGCCCCTTCCTGCCCGGTTTCTTTGAGGAATTCTCCCGCGAACTCCTTTTTCCGGGCTTCCGCGTCACATCCCCACCCCCGAGCGATTTACGTGAGCTTTTTAGGACGGCTTTGAGGGCCACGTCAGGGTCGACGCCGCTAAGAGAGGAAGGAGGAACAATAAGCAGCGGGAAAGACACCTAAATGGTAGATCAAGAAATCTACGTGTGGCGGTCATAGCATATATATATATCAGAAGTTCTTCCTTCTACACGGGCCTTCGATAGCCCAGCAATTTCGCTCACCGCTCATACCACGTGGTCTCTCGGGTTCGAATCCCGCTCAGGAGAGATTTTTCGGTGTCTAAGACAGGATCTGCCTGATATCCTTACTGACGAGTCCACCCAGGCAGACCCGGAACGAAACACAACAACAAATGGGTACACCCACCAGACCTACCTATACCCAAACACGGAATCTGATTTTCTGCAAACAATCATGCCTTGGTGAATTTCATCCCTATTCCAGGAGAAAGTTGAAAAGGGTTGGACGAGTGATCGAAGATGAAATTAATTTGGAGCCGGCGGAGTCAACCGACGCGCTCAGGGTGAAACAATGAAAAATGTTTTAAGCGGGTTAAGGGAATCCGTAATCCGTAGGCGATTATTAAAGGAATTTATTAATTGGTATTCTTTTATCCGGCCGCACCCTGGACGGTGGAGTGGAGAGGGAGATGGATACAAAAGATATCAATTTGCCGGGTTAGTCGAGATTTCCCGATACCAGCGAGTCCGCGTCGCGCCGGTAATAATCCCCCGTTAAAGGAAGCTTTAACGGGGTTTAATTACATCGGTGTGTGGCACGTGGGTAAGTTTAGACTTTCTTTTTCCTCTCCCTTAACCGCGCCGTAATCTCGTTTACTTTTGCGATAAGGAGTTATCCCGAAGTAAACGCCGCGATGAGGGCGTAACGTTTGCCGGGAATTAACCCCTACGTGCACGCAATCCGACAAACTGTAAATTTACGCCGAGGAGGACGGTGCCGCCATCTTGCGCGACCGTTCTCAAGTTTTGGGAAGCAACGTACGAAAGAACCGCAGTTACATCATGGCATAGTTGGGACGAATTACTCAGTCGATAATTTGCAATTGATTCAGAAAATCGCTGCAAACCACTTTTTCTTTTAACGGATCATTTGTGGGCCATGATATGTAGTACACCCTGTACAGCATATCGATTCCTCCAATTAACATTTTCGCGTACATCCCTCAACCTTACAATAATTTGAAACCTGAGTCTATGAGCGGCAAAATGCCGGATTTCAGGACAAAGAGGAGCCGCGAGCTGCGCTTTTCCCGAAAAGCTGGAAAACAATACTCGTTCGATGGTAGGCGTAGGTGAAACGCATTGTTCCAACGGGCACTCCGACTGGCCGGAATAATTAACAAAATCTACCGCGTCGTTGCGAATCGCCATTGCGGGCGATAGTTGCTCGGAATGTTCTCCCGGGGCGTGTTCGTTGTCGCAAAAACAAAACAAAAAATAGTAATAAAGAAATAATGCCCATAGAGTGCGCCGTTTGTTCGCGGGCCAAGCGGATGCGTATAAATTCTCGTTGGCGAAACGCGAAATCCGGAAGCTGCGCCCAAAAGAGGAATTACATTTTGTATGTATATTTCATAAAAACAAAAAGAACAATAAAGGTAAATAAAGGATAGGAAGGAAAAAGAAATATCTTCATTTTTCCGGCCAGGTCTTCTCTGCTCGCTCGTGGATCGACCTAGAGAGCGTCCCATTTGACTCAAAGAGATCTAATTATTTTTCATAATTCCTCTTTCGCGACGTTAAAGCTAGATTCGCGAAAAGTGAGCACTGCGGCTCCGCAAACGTCCCTTCTACCAGACGGTCGTTAAGGAAAACTCGCAAGGCATAAGCCATCCAGGAAACTCCCATTAAACCGTGTAATGTGGCCCCTTACGTTTCCCGGCTAACCGAGGGGCGACTCTTATTTTAACGACGGCCCCAAGAGTGCCTTCGCCATAATTAAGGCGATCCCCGCGAATCACGTTTAAAGATCGCGGAAACTGCGGGCCGCGTTGAATCCCGCAGACGCGCATCCCCGCGCCATTCGCGGGCCCGGCTGCATTATGCATGCATCATTTTCCTCGGTTGAACATTTCACGGGGATGCGGTGTCTGCTTCGGCCTTCCGCCATCCCCGAAAATGGAGTATCGCGCGGAGCCGCTCTAATTGCTTCCTCGTTTATTATTCCATTAAGTACTTTAGTCTCCGTGCGGTGGTATCAAGTTGTGCCCCGGCTGAATTATTCAGCGGACGAGTGTACCTTTAATGCGCTCGAAGATTTCGAGTGGCTTTCGTTTTCTACGCCCAACTGGGAATGGGAGAACCCTCCACCCAAAGAAACGAGGTGTGAAAACGCCATGGCTCCACAGATCTAAAGTGAGCAAAATAATTAAAAGGGGCCAATTGCAAGGTTGCACCATGCTATGATCAAATTATTCCAGAAGGATGAAAGTACCTTAATATAGCGACGACTACCAAAGGCATACAGGATGCGTTGGCGATAAATGAGAAATTTATTCATTTGCGTTAATTGTGGGACAGAAATTTTCGGTGTACATCAGTCGAGTATGTAAAATGTTCTCTGCAAATCGGAATGCAGTGTCTACGGTTGCACGGTGTTTCTGAAAAAGTATCCTTAAACTTATCTTTTACATGTTAGAAGTGCGCGGTAGAACGGCAGTGGCGAAGTCTTGGCCGGTTGTTTAGGACTTCGGGAAGAGATCGTAGATCGGCGCGTCGGCGTCCACCTTGTCGAGGAACAGGCATTTGAAGATGTCGTTATAAAAGTTGGGATAGTACTCGCAGGCTCGCTTGCAGTCCGGTGAGAAGTTGAACTCCAACAGTACAGGCTCCATGCCTTCTTCGTCCCATTGGAGCATTAAATCCACTGCATAGAGAGCTCTGCTTTGCGGGGAGTGAGCGATCCCTTTTGGTGGTTCGGCGGCTACTGCGGCTTCGAAAACTTCTTTCAGCATCTGCATTATCTTTGGTTCTATGTGCTCCTTCCAAGGATACAGTGGATACTGTTGCTGCCACTTCTTCACAAAGTCCTCGCATTTAATATGACAGAGTGCCTCTTCGGAGTAATTCATTACGGTGAAGTGCTGCTCGTAGACATCGAAGTTGTCTAGACCGAACTGCTTGTTGGCAAATCGCAGAAAGAAATTAGTGTAAACATATGCTGATAATGGTTTTACTGATTTCAGCAGGACGACGTATCTGATGTCGAACTTGACTTTCCCAATCTCCGTTCTTAGGTACAGGATTGGGTCGAAGATGTACTTCTGTGCAACTTTTGGACCAGTAGCAGGCAACTTCAATATGTAATACAAATTGTTCGTAATGTGGGTATCCAAACCTCTTGCTAGGTTCCAGGGCTTGCAAATCCAGTAGTTATCCAGGGACTTGGCTTCTCTATTCTGGAAGTAGGAGACAAACTCCACAAGCTCTGTGCTTAAATTGTATGTCGTTGGTAGCCATTTCGGAAATGTATCTAAAGTTAATGGGTCGTATTTGGATTCACCTGCTTTCCTTCTACAAATGATTGACAGTAAGTCCTTAACGGTTAAAACGTGTTCAAAGGGAAACTGATTAACGAAGACCCGAGGGGATTTAGTGCTCAGGGTTTTGTAGTCTTTAAAGTGAGTCGTCAACCACAAGATATCTGCTTCCTCTTCGTTGGAGACTATTTCAAATGCTGGATCGTTTAAATACTCGTTTACAAAGGAATACTGGGAGTACACTTTGAGCTTTGTATTCTCTAAAATTTGTAGGGTATTCGTGACTGTTTCTTCCGGCAAAGTCTCCTCAATATGACCAGATAAAAAGTAAGATTCATCTGGTTCCACTTGCACAAAATTTTCCTGAATGAAGTTATTAGTTTTCCAAGGAAGTAGTAATGCTCGACGCTTGTTGGGATCATTTGTTACTCCTTCTACATAATCTCTAGTAATTTCAGCTTCAAATGGAACATCTTTAATCGGAAACAGAAGAGTGTACGTGACTCCTTCGGATGCATAAAGGAAGGGCACTGTTCTAAAATTTGGATCATCACTGTGATTAATTGCTGAACCCAGCTCATCCATAATGTACCAAATCGGCAGTCGTTCTTCTATTGTAGAAGCATTACCGAGTGAGAAAAAGCTATTAAATCTCCACATTTCAGAGAGTACAAATTCAAGCTTCTCATCTTCTGCCCTATCCTTATCGAAACCCATAAGATTACTCATACGATCTAATAACCCTGGAACTTGGACCAGATTTCGCCTCGCAGTTTTAACATCATATGTCCATGCATGATCTACGAGGAAAATATTATTTGGATCCTTTGCAGAAATTCCATCTTCTTTTACTATATAAACTTTCCAAATTGGATCATTGTTCTCTTTTTCGCCTTCAGCATACTCTAAACGAACGATCTCAAAACTATCTCCAGCATCAAAGGTATGACGTTGCAGTTTTGTGCACAAAGTGGACCAAAAAATCTGTGGAACACCCGAAGACACCAACTGTGGTTGATGGTTGCGTAAAAATGCTTGGTAAGGATCAGTCCCATCCATGTTTATAAGTTCTTTGCCCAGAACTCACAAGACGCAGTCTTCTCTTCAAGAAAAATTAAAAAAAAAGTTTAACATATTTTCTACTTAACAAATGTATATAGACTAATATTATAGAGTTCATTATGAATAGAATCTAGAAAGTAGTGTAACTTAAAATACAGGAACCATTTGACATAAGACAAAAATATCACATCTGTAGGACGTCAGTCGTTACCAAATGAAGCCGATTCATATGCATAACCTCAGAAACTGACACCCGATGGACGTCCGCCGGTTACTTTTCGTTTTCTTATTTTATCTTATATATAATCAAAGTTATACTATACAGAAACTTACGAATAGTAAAACAAGTAATAATAGTTATTTCTCTCTGTTTTTATATTCTTACACAGCTCAAACGTCGCTTACGTTTTCAAACCGTTTTCTTTCTTCTCAAACCAGAAGCAATTAAACATGGCGACCAATGGCAACCAATGGGAACTTAAGAGCGCTTGCGCGAAAATGAAACAAACTCTAGGCAGAGACAGAGACGAGTTGGGAGACAGAGATGAGTTGGTAGATTGCTCACGGGCAGGATCGTGAGATCGCATCCTGTGCTGCCCTCTGGTTTCGTACGTTAGCTTTCACCGTTTTTTGCCCCCAAGGGCGGCGCAACGAATTTCTGATAGGAGCTCCGCATCACGTCGACTTCGAGGCAACAATGTACTTAATAGTAGTAGATAAGTAGATAAAGTCAAATGGAGCGTTACGAATGTTCTTCCCTTACCATAAAAAGCAAGCAGTGTTGGTAAGCGTAGGTAAGCCACCACCATCAACTGCCGCATGGTATTACCATCACGAGTACGTGAGCCGCAAACGGCGACTGGTAGATGGTACCGCCATCGCGAGTGCGCGAGCTCCTATCAGAAATTCGTTGCGCCGCCCTTGGGGGCAAAAAACGGTGAAAGCTAACATACGAAACCAGAGGGCAGCACAGGATGCAATCGCACAACCCTGCCCGTGAGCAATCTCCCAACTCATCTCTGATCCTGCCCGTAAGCAATCTCCCAACTTATCTCTGACAGAGATCACTATTTCGCTTAAAAATTTGTGCCGAGCCAGTTCATATGAATGGTCTCGTATTCTCACCACCATAACGTTATGTAATACCGTCAGCTACTCATTTTTCACATTTTCGCTAAATTTGCTTTACGTAGTAGACCCCCTGGTCCCACGACATGCCCACGAAACGATATTGTTTTTCACACAGTAATAAAATATTTTAGAAGCAATGCGAATAAATTAATAAAACATATGAAAGTTCACACTACATCGTTTCGTGAAATTCGAGGTTCATTTAAAATATCATTGAAAATAAAAGAAATACCGTATAAAAATCAAAGACGAGTTGGAAGATTGCTCACGGGCTGTGTAGCGCAATCGTGTTCTGTGCTGCCTTCGGTAGAGAACCTGATACCCCCCTTTAGCGGTGAATAGCGGCTAGTAGCGGCCCAACTCAGGGCAAACAATTGTTTGGAATAGGTTAGCATATGAGGGTCATGAGATGAGAACAGGTGTACGCTGTCCCTCAGCTCACTTGTGCTGGTACTTATCGTTGTCAAAAGCAGCGACTAGATGTCAATCAAGCAGGTAACTTTGGAATCGTTTAAAGACTCGACAGTGGTTGCTGAGCCAGAACACAACGTAGGAAATGGCTTCCACGACCGTCAAAGACATGTCGAACGTGGAGGACGTGATAGCCGAACCAGGCATCGAGCCCGGAGCATCGGCAGAACCGATGCTGGTCACTACTGACAATTTTGAAGAATATGAACAAGAGATGAGTAGTAGCCTAGACGACAGACAAATGAATGAAAGTACTGCTAGTACTATCTCTGAGATCCAGGAAGACGCTCAGGAAGTCCCTCCGACAACCTCGGTGATGAGTCCTCTGGATCTCAAACAGAAAACTTCGCTGGATGATTCCAAAGTGGTACATAACATAATGGTTATCCAGTGATAGATGGAACGAGAGAAGAAAAATTCTGAAAAGGGTGTCTTGTCTTTCAGGAGGAGGCAGCGAAACAAGTGGGACAGTGCAATTTAGATGCGGATCCCTTGCGGTGTAAGACATGGCTCTCGCAAAAGAAGCATATTTTTGTTTTAAGCCAAGCAGGGAAGCCAATTTATTCAAGGCATAGCTCAGAGGATAAGTTAGTTACCGTAATGGGAGTTATGCAAGCACTGGTCTCTTTTGTCCAATCAGGCGATGATATGATAAGATCAGTTCATGCTGGAGATACAAATTTTGTCTTTTTGGTGAAAGGACCACTGATATTGGTAGCAATTTCTAAGACATTGGAAAGTGTTCAACAACTCATTATGCAGCTAACGTATGTAGATGTATAGATGTTCTTCTCTTTATATAAAATAGTTCCATTAAAAATGTGTAGTTATTTTGTTTTCTTACAGATATGTATATAATCAGATTCTCTCTGTTTTAACTCAGTCACGACTGACTAGCGTTTACGAGCAAAGAAGGAACTATGACTTGAGAAGATTATTGAGTGGCAGTGAAAGACTGATAGATCATTTATTAAATTTCATGGATCGAGAACCAGCATTTTTCTTAGGTGCAATTAAGTGCTTACCTCTAGTTCCTGCTATGAGAGATAACATTGCGCAGATCATTATCCAGACTTGTGGCAAAATTAAGGTAACGATGGAAAGTAAAACCTTACTTGAAATATAAAACTAAGTGATGTCATAAATTGATATGCACTATCATTGTTCTAATGATTGTTCTAATTTCTAGAATTTAGTCTTTGCAATTCTACTAGCCAATAATCAACTGGTGACTTTGGTTAGAATGAAAAAATACTCTATACATCCTACAGATTTACATTTGATCCAAAATTTGGTTGACAGTTCAGAGTCATTTAAAAGTGCCGAAAGTTGGACACCAATATGTTTACCAAAGTTTGATGCTAATGGTTATATGCATGGACATGTCTCTTACTTGGCTGAAGATTGTCAAGCATGCTTGTTACTTTTGACGGTAGACAGAGATGTATTTTTTACACTTTCTGAAGCAAAACAAGTAAGCTACACTTTATTATACATATTTCTTGTATGATGCAATTCACCTCATTTTAATTAATTTTAGAAAATTGTGGAAAAGCTTAGGCGAACAAATTGCTTGGAAGCTATAAACGAGTCCATGAATAAAACATCTGTTACGATCGCTGAAATAGGATTACCTGAAATGCGACATGTTTTGTATAAATGTAAGAGCACTGCTCAGTTTTGGTGCCCAGCATTCCAAGCACCTTATACAACTGAAGAAGAAATTGAAAGGTTATTTCATTTTTTTTCCCTTTGAAAATAACTATGCCAATCATTTAACATTACTTTTTAAATATCGCAGGCTGCTCGGGTTGTATCAATGCTTGCATCACAAATTGCACGCTCCGAGTAGGCCATTGAAGTTAATCTTTCAACAATTAGAGAAAGAAACAATGTTCACATGGGTATGTATTTTAAAAAATAATTGAAATATTCAGCAGTGTAGCATATATAGTCAGACACAATGTAAACCTCTTTTACATCCCTGAATTTAGCTAACAGCTGGCTTTGAACTATATGCAACATTTGAACCCCTTGTTACAAAACGAGATGCCATTGAAGCTGTGAGCAAACTCTTAAAGTGGTTAAAGAAGGAAGAAGAGAGACTGTTCATCCTAAATCCACCAACATTTTAAAGACTCAAAATAAGTGATCTTTCGATCTAAATAAATTAAGATTATTATTTGCTTAAACTGTCAAAGTTAAAAATATGTAGGTAAATATCTCATTTTTAAGAAAGATTCAAATGAAATTACCACCAGAGCTAAGCAGCAATGATTACACTTTCAATTTGATTAATTATTGTTGTAAATAAAACTGTTTTGCAATTAAACAATGAAGTTGTAATATTAGTTATCTTTTTTAATTATAATCAATATTATAGATGCTGCTTACATCTGGTTACTATTTAGATTGTCACTCCTTCCATCTGTACATTTTATATGTCATAGCTACTGAGGTTAACTAGAATTTATGTAACATAAGTAATACGAAAAACATTGTAAATAGAATACTGTCTGTGTAATATTTTCTTTTTCTCCCTATAAATTTGACACATGACATTCCGACAGTAATATATAAAGGCAGTTGATACAGAAGATTAATTGTTCACTTAAGTTTGAAATCAGTTACATTTTCAAAGACACGCAGCATCGAGCTTGACAATAAAAGAAATACTAGTCAAAACATTTTTTTTTTAATCGTCAATTCTTTATCATCTATGTCTTATAAGGTACAATTAAAATGAAGTAGATTTTTAATGCCTATTTCGATCACGATCTCTTCTTCTATCACGATCCCTTTCTCTCTCTCTCTCCCTTTCATCTCTTCGATATCGATCCTTTTCCCTTTCTTTATCCTTATAAGAAGAAGAGTGGGTTTTCGGTGATTTACTTCGCTTCCTTTCCCTTCTGTCCCTATCCCGATCTCGGCTTCTCGATCGTTTCTCTCTATCAGATTTTTTGTCAGATCGAGAATGCCTTTTATCACGGTCTCTATGGCGATCTCTGTCTCTTTCATACTCCTCAGACCGTTTCCGTATTTCTTCTTTAAGAGGAGCTATATCTTCATCTTCCGATGTTTCGATGCCCTCATCCATATCATCCTCCAGTGCCGAGACTTTAGCCTCTGAAAAAAATGAATAAATGTAATACGATATACTTCTAAATAAAAGAGACCAAAATCAATCTTACCTAATTCGTTATTTTCTTCTAAGACATGTCGCTTCTGAATTCTTGGAAGTATCACGTCACAGCACCGTTCTTCCCTAAGGAGATCGTCTATGAACTCATCCATGTGAATCAATTCAAATTGTCCCTGCTTATTCTGCCGCCTTAATTTACGGTTGTCATTGAACAAAGGTTCCAGATATTTGTAACAATCCAACGACGTTCCCGTCAGGCGCATATATAATGCTCCCAACGCTCTGACGTATTTAAATTCTTCATTTTTTATAAACTCGACTATGATATCTTTTTCAGGTTGGATTTGCAACATCTTTAAGATAAGGCAGAGGAACGGCGTTGGCTTCACATTGCCACCGAAAACACCGCCAATATACCTGTGCATTTAAGAGGAATCCTATAGAAAATGATTTATGACCTCTTTTACGTAAATATACAAATATATGAACAATACAAAATATAATAAACAGAATAAACATTGTAGGTAGGATCGATTGGTACTAGGTTACTAACCTCAATTCCATCGCTTTGTCTACAAGAAGTTCCGCGGTTAAGGCAAAACATTCTTCTTTCCAGTATTTCGAGTCGTAAATGCGAGATCTGATGATTTTTTCCACTAAATATTGCGGATTTGTGCCGCGAATTGATTTCGCGTCTTTCACCGTGCGATTCGCCATCTTTTACGGCGCGCCGACGCCAACGACGACTCGTGGATTTCAGATGAACTAAATCACTAACCATCCATGACATAGAACGGAAACTAATAATCGACGAAGTAACGATTTAACGCAATGGCGCAAATGGCGCGAACATTTCATATTCACCGTCACCGCCTAGTAATTGAATTCGCTTTAATCGCTAATGCTTATCTGATAACCCCAATAAAATGAAAACCTTGGATAAATATACGGAAACAAGGCTTCACAATTTAATTACTCTAAAAACAGTAACTCGAAGAAAGTTCTGCTCATCTTGATTCCATGCATAACTAAGTCCTTCAACTTTCAACCCATTGAGTAGATCTGCATTCTCGTCTCGTACTCGAGAAAGAACGGCTTTCCGGAATGTCCGACATTTTGGAAATCTCTTTCGCTGACATGCATATATGTATTTATGCCAACTAGAGGTCACGACTCCGTCAATCGTTGTCCTTGACGATTTTTTAGATTAACCCCGAGCCTTTTCTGAGTCCAAGGCATTGAATTAAATCCTGTTCATGTAGTGCTTTCATTTTTTTAGGTATGTTCTTCTAGGTAACTCTTGGGAAAGGGTCGCGTCTCGGCTGCCAGGCGTTGAACTCCCCAGGCGCGTCGAGTGCGCACATATTTTGTCGATGCATCACTCGGGCCCGGGGTTACTTTCTCAGCCCCAGGAGAACAGAGGCCAAGCCAAGGGGACCGATATCTTTGAGAACCTCTGCCAGCCACGTCCGTCTTGAAGCGAGGAACGGGGCTGTAATAAAGGCTCTATCCCCTCTTCCGTAGAGCCGCCTTTCGCTGTCAAGCTAGTTGGGGCCTCATTCAGTAGGTCCTGTACGCGCGCAGGTATATTCTCTCTCACCTGGCGACTTGGCCTCACCTGGGCCGCCATCTTGGAACCACCGGGTGCCGTCCTTAAAACATTTCCCGTCTCGACAGAAAACCCAGCTATCCGCGCTATGCAGTCGCCCGTGCAGCTGCAGCTGCAGAACGTCGACCACCACTCGAAGACGCCACTTTGACAGCTCTCCGTGTCAATATCCGACGAGCTCGAGGACTTCGGATTGACTCAATCGACGCTTGTTCCGATAAACACCAAACTACCTGTGAATCACGAAAGTCATACCGCTCGTCGATATTTTAACGCGCGAGTGGCGGATACCGGAAATTATTCGCAAATCGATAAACTAATTCTGCCGTGTAAATGGTGAATTGTTCTGTGCTCAAATTTACTCGGGTCCCCTGTCAACGCCGTGGCGCAAACAAATGAATGTCCTCCTGACATTAAGCGCGGTTATCGAACCCAGATTGTGCCAATAAGATGCTGAGAGAATTGTCGCATTGACAAGCCGAAGTGTACCCAGAGCCTCTTTACCGCGTTAAGATTAAATAAATTAAAATCTCGTTTAGTTTAATTATCTCCCAATTTAAGCAGTGATAAAGGATTCTACACGGTGTTCGCTGAAAATGGAACTGGTAGCTCTAGCCACAAGGAGCCCTTAAAAGTCACTTTGACAGACCGAACTACTAGCAATAATCGGAACGTCAGAGATTGAGTTGACGATTCGGCAATCCTTCGTGGTAAATCGTTCAAAATGGGCTCCAAAATCGAATACGTAGAATCCTCCCATATGTATGCGACGAATTATATAAGGAACTCAAAGGCGATCGGCGTTTTATGGGGAATATTTACCATATGCTATGCCATTATCGGAGTGGTGGCTTTCGTCACTCCTGAGTGGCTGGGCGATTTGGAGCACGAGAATCCTGGAAGGTTTGGCCTCTGGACAAGATGTAGCTATGGCGGAAACGGTAATAATTAATTCCTGCGCATTTACGCCCCCCCCCCCCCCTATAAATCAGTTTACCCCTTATCCTTGAATCATTTAAGTTAATTATGTAATTCCTTGCAACAGGGGAACTTGGCGAAGAGTGCATCGGGAGACTGGACGATCTGTCAACAATCGCCAGCATCCCTTTCAGAGCGAGCACCATCCTTGTGGGAATAGCAGTTGTCATCGCATTGTTGGCGATATGCGCGATGCTTCTCTTCTTCTTCTGCCAAAGCACAACCGTTTTTTACATATGCGCCTGGATGCAGGTGATTTCCGGTAAGCCGCTTCTGTGTACTCTACTCCCGATCGTAAAACGAGTGAAAGTAAAGCCTAGTAGAGAGACTAATTGCAGATAGAATAATTATAGCTTCGGGTAATCCAGGGATAGGTAGTACGCATTAAACCTATGTTTACCATAAACTTGCAAGGCCTGCGTCATGAGGAAGCGTTTCGCAAGGAAATGGGAGGCGTGGAGAGATTCTTTCCAGGGAAATCTCAGTTTTTCTAGTTTCTTGATAATCTCAGGAGTTACCTTTTGTAAGAGTCCGTAAACGCGCTAATATACCATCCGGGACGGATTCACTTTCGATGAAAGATTACAAAGCGACGTTTTAGAAAGTGCACTGCACTCCACTCGCGTCACAGCCCATTACGAGCCGCGATCCTGCAATGCTTTATCATTGCTACGTAATTGTAAATTGCACCGATGCAGAGGAACGGCTCGGCAGGAAGTGACGTAACGCCGTTGTTCGGTACGCTCCCATCGTTGTACAACCGATGCGTCAAATTGTACGATTTCGAGGCAATTTGCCGTGACGATCTCGACGGATCATGTCGGTAATAATTGTATACACGGTGAGTTATTTCGAACGGTGGCTTCGGGGGCAATTCACGAGTTTGATTAAAGCCGTTGCATCATGGAGAGTAATGGGAGCTGAAAATATAAACAGAATTGCACAAGAGTTTTCAAGTAGTTTGCCCTTGGCGGTCTGCTGACTCTTCGGTTACTCTTTAAGGCAATTGTGTCACAAGAACGGCATAATGGCTTTGATATTACGATTTGGAATAATCAATCGCGTATTGCATCTTAAGGTATTCATGGTTCTGGGTGTCGTTAATGAACGGACTTTTTGTACACTTTCTGGTAAATTTCTGAATTACCCGCCTATTCGAAGCCGTGCACATCGAGAGTTCATTCGACTCTCCGTGCAGCGAGTTACGAAAGAGCCTTTCCAATGTTAACTCCGCAGTACAAGTTACACGGCAAATAGCCACACCACGCGGGTTTATATCCTTCGTTAAAAACTTACACGAAGTTGCACAAGTGAGCACGCATTTGCAGGTGCCAGCAGTTGGGGCATGGAAATTTTTTATTCGCGTAATGACTGGAGCAGCTATTCTCTAAATTTGTATACAACCTAGAAACAAGAGTGTAACCCTGTACCGAGCATTCTCATTCTCAGGGTATTATGATTTCCACGGTTCTCCTTAACCCTTTGAGGACGGAGCTCTTTTGACATATGGACGAAATTCATGAAGACGTGCAGGCAATATTGGACCAAATGTCGGACGCATATATGCGGCGGTAGTCCGCAAAGGGTTAAAAGGAATGATTTTTCCACGGTGACGGGTTCGGTTTTACATTTGACCGGGCAAATTGGTTGTCAAAGAAAATTACGAGTTAAGAGAAGGAGCCCCGTTATCTGTCTTTGTAAACGAGAGATTACAGTGCTCGTACGACTGGTCTCCATCTTAGCAATGAAATGTAGAATAGACCGTTATAATGTACAGAACAACCGGTACCGTTGACCGATGCCTTCGTTATCGACGTACTTTGTCGATGGACGATAACGCACCGTTTAATACTCGTAAAGCATCCAAGACGGGCTTAATATTTTCCATTCGCTCGGTCAACCGAAACCCCCTGATAACTTTTCTGACTTTCTAGAAGAGAATTTTGCTGGAACATGATAGAAGAAGTGCGTTAGCATCGAGTCAGCTTTTCGCGTACACCTTGTCGTAACCGTTGACCGACTTTAAGGGCGTTGACACGTTTCGGCGAAGCCGTGACTAATTGCGATATTCCGTGCCAAAAGGCCGAAATCAATTGATTATATGCGAGACTTAGGGCTAGTTTTCACTCTTATAGGAATACAAAATAGAATAGCCGGAGTAGTGGAAGAAAATATCGCTACCCAACGACTTGGAGTAATTTCGTGAATATTCTAAAGAATTCCAGACCATTTTCGCGAGGTCTTCGGCGAAGTGAAATGAGAGAGAGAGCAATGTTTCGCTGCACCCGTTCTTGCATGTAGTTTCGGACTACAAGTGAAAGTCGACGGATCGACTTGTCAAGATCTAAGAAAAATCACTGCCCGATGATTGGGCTCGCTGCCAAAGACCGTTTCCCCGGTTTCAGAGAGCTGAGAGGCGCAAACACACATTCATTGGTCAATCGGAAGTGACCGTTTCCTGGCAGCGGTCAGAAGCAAATCTTCCTTACCTGGACGATAGACCAGTCTCAGGAAGGACTTTCCAATTTCGACATTTGCACGCAACTAATGGCCGTTTCAGGTCGGCAGATTCCAATCTAGGTTAACCTCCACTGTAGCCAGAAAATCCCCATTAAAATTCTGATCCCGCGTCAGCGCTGAAATAAAATTTACCGGGAATTATAATTTACGAATGACCCTATTTATTAATTACTTAAAGAGTTTTAATTTCAACGGGATAGCCTGCCACTTTGCCGACAATTTTCATGTCTGCCGCGTCGCGAAGCTACAGCTACAGTTAGAAAAGTTGTCTCTCCGGTTCCTTTCACCGTCGACCTCGCTTCGCCTTTCCAACCTAAGAGTGGATGTATCACCTAAATGGCAAACAGTTACGCGATTTTACAAGTATATAGAACGACGTGAAATCAATGGGAAGCTATTCCCAGCCCCTCCCCATCCAAGAATTAATTCTTCCACGCAACGAGGCTTTCTCGAAGAGCATTGTTACCGGTAAAATTACTCTCCCAGCGGATGCATAAATGGATCAATTTCTCTGAGTTATGTAGGCATTACAATTGCCTAGACTTTCCTTTCAGTTTTACGACGCCAAGATCATTAACGAGCGAAGTCTTGCAGAACAATGTCAGGGTTGTCACGTCCATCGAGTAGATTGCACTCGGAAGAGGCTTAACATTCGATGTAACGTTATCGAAAGCGTTAACTGCATGATTTAAAAAATATTTAAATTTCATCGTTGCAGCCGTGTGCATGGCAATCGGAGTTTGCGTCTACCCCCTGGGCTGGGACTCTCCATTAATTCGAGCCGTCTGCGGAGCTTCTGCATCCAGGTAACGTCTTCCAATGATCCTCATTTACAATGCAAATTGCAGCGATAACGTAATCGTTCGATATTCCTTCTAGATACAACCCAGGGGCATGTGCGGTAAGATGGGCGATTCCATTGGCGGCCATCGCTGCTCTGGATGCGACGACTTTAGCGGCCCTTGCTTTTATCTTGGCATCGCGTCACGTCAGACTACAGCCGGAACCATTTAACAATGGGTCCCTGTACAAAGGTAAACTGTCTCATTATGAAAATAAACTGGCGCATCTGAATAGCCTAGCGTGAAGGTAAACTGCAGACGTGCGCTCAGCTCATCATTTTCTAATTCAATGATTTTTCCCACCAATTTTCCGACGATTACTTCAGGTGCAATTAAGATATCGCTCCTTTCGTTACAGGCGAGGTGAACCCGGGGTATGTAAACGAGGCCCAGAGTGTCGCAGGGTCCAGGAAGTCCTTATCGTTGAGGCCGGTACTTCTGGTGGCGCCTCCGGAACAAGACCGCTACAGCGAACTCTCCAGGGCCAAATCGCACTCGCATCACAGTCTTTATTCGCCGGCTCCTTCGCATCCGGTTCACACAATGTCGACGAACACCTTGAGTCATTCTCAGCATAACTTCCAGCTCTAGACGCCCCTCGATACGAGATGAGGAACCTACCAGGAAGCGGCTCCGTGTACATACTGATTACGCCGTGACTTATCACTATCCACACCGGATGAGCTTCTATCCGGTGTTAAGTTCTACACCCTGAGAACTTTGCTGAAAATGACGTCAAGTTTCATCTCTCCCAGAACTTTGCGTCCTAACTGGAGGATCAATATCGATAAAAACGACCAGGCAGAAGATTATTTTCAATTAGGCAGATTAAAGGAGATTCACGACTGAAAATCGTTGATAATCATCTGTGCCTTGCGGACGCGATGTTGAATGCTTTACCATTTCGGCTTTCGAAAAATTTGCCTTTTTATTACTTACGAGTTCTTTTTTCGATCTTCTTAGAGATAGTGGAAAGAGAAATTTACCATTAAGCGCAAGTAGCTGAGTAAATAATAGTTGCCCGAATTGTTCCGACCTTTAGGGAATTGTTATTCGGTAGCGCTAGGCGTGTATCTTAATTTTACCGTGTATATTGATCCCGTGTTATGTGCTAGTTTGGATTGATTCGAAATTTATGTCGCGAGAAAATTTAGTCATTTACGGACGAAAGAGTTAGAAGTTTATTTACGTTATTTAGAGTATTACAAATATGTACACAATGCTCAGTTTCATTAAAACGAGACGGCTATTTAAGTTTTGTACTAACCTGAGTATTTTATCGTATAACTTTTTGATCGTTTTATCTATTTTTCTGAAATTGTACGTCGAAAGGTGCGAATTTGTGTTTTTACATGCAAGCTTCAATGGATGTACAATAGTAATGTTATATCCGCGCCCTGTATACATATTAAACCGAAATAGATTTTTACGTTCGGTAAGAGATTTTTTAATCGCGATAAAGATACCTGCCATTATGTTTGTTCTGCAATTATATATCAGTAAAAAAATATTCACGACGGTAACTTACCGACTGTCAATGAATTGCCGATCTCTCGTCAAAGTAAGATGTCGCCGTCAGGACGAAGCATTGATATTCCTGTAAAATAAAGATGTAATCGATTTTAATGACATTAACAAAATACATCGAGTACGACGGACACCATTAACATTTTGACTAGTGTATTTAATGATATGATACAGGACAGTTTTCTTTATCAGGAGATAGTGAACATTTAAGAACTCTTACGGCTGTCATCGAAGTCGTCGTAGGTAGACAAGGTAGCAGGCAAAACTTAACGCATTGAATGAGAACTTGTTCTAAAATACGAAAAATCTAGTTTATTAAATATTACCATCAGAAGTGGCAAACTTGTCAACCTACAAGTCTTCTTTGGTCGAGGATACTATAGTACAGAACTACTCTACTTTATGGTTACTGACAACTAATTCTATGCTGCCGACGAAATCATAAGAAGGATTTTAACGGGCAGCCCTTTCTGGAAATTATTTCCCGGGTTTAGAAATTATTTTCCAAAAAGTTACGAGTAAGGATTTCAAGCGACCCGAATTCTTTCGAATTCCTTCACGACCTCTTTTCCTGTACCTCGTTGATTTCAAAATCATCTACGAACGATTCCTCCTAACGTCGCGGATATCGGCATGGAAGGAACCACCAGAGGAACTTTTTCCGTCAACGTACTTTCTCTCCTACGTCTCAAAAACGTGTGAAAGCGCCTTGGGTATGCCAAGACATGGTAATACTTCGTAAGAGTAATCGGTGGCAATAAATAAAACAGCCCGTCAGGATCGCAGACCACTTTCGAGGCGCTTCGTCGGGATTAATCGCTAACAGGAATCTTGAAATGTGGAAAAAGGATAGGGTCGTAACGTAAAGTCGAGAGCACAGAATCCACTGCCGGGACATTTCCGCGATACCATCAACGAGGGTGACCGCCATGCGATAATAAATCTCGAATGAAAACAGGATTTAGAATATTACGAAATCAATTCCTTCCTCGGACGCCATTTTGACGCGGGAAGCAAGACGGTTCCCTCGCCGGGGGTAATACCGATCGTTACAATAAATATGTCAATGAGTTACACGACAAGCTACGAGCTACAATACTTTTCCACCTCGTCACACATCCTACCACGAATTTGCAGGGTTCCATGCCGGTGAGATGCTTCGAATTCCCCATTTCTATTTTTTTTCCGACATTTTTATCGCAAGTCACAAAGAGAAGAAATAATACACGAGGTAAGTAAACGCCGCAGAGGGCGCGTAATTTGCGGTAACGGCCTCACTTTTGCGAAGAGAGCGTTTACGGCGCATTAATTGGCTTCCTACGAGGAGGGAGCAGGGTAAAGCCGTTTACAACGTTGTAAAGGGTCACAGGAGGAGTCTTCCGCGGTGTTTACTTCCCTTTTTACCCGCGCACTGACCACGTGTCGTATCCGACTTATATTACACCGCGCGTGCATCTCACATCGAGTGCAATAACGCACCCATGACACTCTCCCGAATGCGTTTATGAGTTTATGGCGCCGGGCATTGCATCTAAGGCTGGCGGCAGGCTTTCGTGTCCCCCGTTCAATCTTGCGGTTCTGCATTTTTACGATTTTACGTGCGAGCCTTAAGAGAGACCGACGATCTCGGGTAATCCGACGAGCGCGGCTAATTGCACGGTAATTGCGCCCGATACGATTTCCTCCTCTCAATTTTCCGACCTTTCCGTCTATTAGATTGAAAAACGCTCGAGTTAGATACGTAAATTTTAAGCCACGGCCGCGGTCAGCAAACTTCAGCTGTTCGTGACTGTGTCAGTCATGATTTAAGAGTCACGCATCTTGCGTGACTGATTTCACAGTGCACTATCGATGCAACTCATTAACTGCGAGGTCTAGCGCGGGTGCAAACCGAGGGCGCGCTGAAAAGAGGAATTTACGAACGCGGAAGAATACGCCGGAGATATTACATAATTCAAGACCCGACATGGAACCCTTCCTGAACTAGTCAGCGAAATACTGGGAAAATTTGAGAAATTTCTCGCAACCACCCAGCGACCTATACATAGAGAACGTCCAAATGGCCATCCGCAGGATCTGCGGATTTTTGGAGAACGACGCTCGGCACTTGAAATAATACATGAAAGAAAGAAAGAAAGAAGATGGTCGTAAGCGAGTTTCAGTGAGAACGTGTGAACATTCCCTGTTAGGTGCTACGCCTGTACGCTAGGACTAATCTACACGAAACATTTTTACATATGGCGTCTTAATGCGACTCGTGGGGAGATTTCGATCCGGCAATCGGGACCTCTTCAAATGCCCTTAGTGAGGATGATTCCGCAAGGCTGGACCACCCCGGTGTTGGTCAGCCTTGGCCTCTTGGTGGTGGCCTTGCTCTCGTCCTTCTTAAGGAGCTCCTCGATGGAGTAAGGATTTCTTTTCCTCGGAGGCTGAGCAGGCTCGTTTTCTGACGCGGATTCATTAGGGGCGTTGCGTTCTTTCCCCGCTTCCAGAATTCTCCTCCTGTCGAGATCACGGCCGGCCCCGTCGACGGGTGGACTTTGGCGGGAATTTTCGAAATTCCCCCCAGAATTCGGGGTCCCGTGCCTGACGAAGGCGCTCCGGTCGCTGCCGATCTTTTGGCCGAGTTCAAGAATGATCGGGGAATTTTGGTAGGACTTGAAATTGTCCTGGGACTCGGTGTTCTCCTCGAGGTCGCTCTTATCCAAGGAATCGTCGCTTCCAGCCATGGAACTCGAACTGGACTTCAGGTCCACCTGACTCTGTCCATTCTGCTGCTCCGAGAGACGCTCGGGGTCCAACGAGCTGAAAGTACGACATTTGAATACCAAATCTTGAATTTCACATCTACTATCTAAATCCAAAGAACCTACTTGAAGGACTGCATCCCGTTATGCAGATGCAAAGTCGTGGCTTGATACAAGGAGGAGTAAAAGCTAGAGTTCCAAGATGGCGGCCCGCCGCTTCCGGAAGTGGTCGAGATGTGCAGAGGCCCCAGACTTCCGGAATAGAACAGCTGATAGTCCGTCCTCATCAGAGCTTCTGAAGTAAGATCGATAAGCGAATTTTAAAAAATCGACCAACAACGACGGTACAAAAATGTCTAATCGCTGAATCATGCAGCGCACATTAGGCGCATTTGGGTTCCTCGTCCGAGTACCGTCTCAATTTTCGGGGGAACGTTGAAGCCCGATGTTATCGTTAATGAGACCCACTTGGCGAGCTCAATGATCCAAATTGGCCGGATCACGGCAGGAAGTACGTAAAAGTCTCGGATTCTGGTGGATCTCGCGTGCCGCCAAATCTTACATCACTGACGAGTTAATTTCGCGAGGAACTTTTATCCGTGCGGGGAAAAACGGGCCGAACGGTGGAACCAGGGCCGATTTTGCATTAGGTTGCAGGTGTATAGGGATCATTAGCCGTTAATGGCGCCCTCGAGGCGCATCCGGGGACGCCATTACGACGTCGTTACGACGGCCAAGACCGGCAAAAATCTGGTGCTCCGTTTTTTACCGATCGTCCCAGAAGCAGGACCCGATACGCCCAGCAAACTCTCACCTCTGGCGCTCAAATTCCCAGGGATCTGCGATTGATAGCTGCTGGAGGATCCGCTATCCATCGCGGGATGTTCCGTGTGCAAACCTCCACCTCTTAGAATCCTATTCACCGATGACACCGAAGGCAGGTTCTGAGGGTCGCAGGCGCCCTGACTAGCGAGCTGCTTGCGAATCTCCCAGGCGAACATCGTGGGTTGTTCCTGTTTCATGCGCAGGATTTTCTTGACGACGGTGGGCGTCGCCACTTGCTGCAACGGTAAGGCACCCTGCCGTTAGGTAACGAGTTAAGAAATTGGCGACATAAACATATCTAGAAATTTAGCAAGGAGAACGTAGCGATATTTCGTCGCGAAGTCGGCCGAGCGAAAATAAAATGGCGGAAACGACAAAAAGGGCCCTGCAGGGGGAGTCGCAGGGATTCCGGGGAGTTTCGGAAGCGGTCCCACGACAGCGGTTCCGATGTCGTTAATCATCGCCCCTGGTCCGAAGGAGCGAGCATTAGGGCGAGTTTGGGGCAGGCTCGCACGACAAAGTACACATGCTGTCCACAGGTGAAGTGGCCCCGATCAGATAGGTGCGCTCGGGTACACTTTGCCCGCGCTCGCCGGGCCCTGGGCGCCATCTGCGGGTCCACTCGGACAGTGGCGCTCAAATCAGCGGGCCTCATTTGAATTGCTAATCCCCATGCTAATGTCCGGATAATCTTATGCTAACACGATGGAAATGTTATTCCTCGGGACAGATCTCGAGATGCGAAGATCCCTGCCCGGCACGTGATTGCCACCGCGTGATTTCTTCGCGGATGTCAACCGGAACGGATTCCCATTCCGAGGCCCTTAAGCGAAATAATGGCCCCCGTTAACTTCGTGGCTCTTCGATAACTGCGCGCCAACAATTTCTTACTTTGCACCCCATACGCCTGGGATTCAATTTCTCTGATTTTACTCAAAGTGTAGAGACGTAAACTTTAATGCCCGTTGCTCGACCGGAACACAACGGCAATTGTTCATTCGAGCAGTTGCAAGAGACGCACCGATCATCGGGTAATTTCTATTTAATTATTTCGGCTCGCCTCCTCAGCAATCATTAGCCGGTCTGCGGCGCGTCACGCACCGCCGGTTTTATCGCATAAATCCAGGGATTTTATTGCTCCATATTCCGAGCGGAATAAAACGACCCTTGAGGATGCAGCCCTTATTTCCTCCCGAGGAGAAGCAATAGGCGCGAAGAAACTCGTAATTATTAGTTACTGCCATCAATAACGCCCGTTAACGACCCCGTCGTAAACGTTTAATCGGGGATACCTCCTCGAGAAAGAATATCAAGCCAAGGGCGATAAAAGCGCCTATCGGCGAACCGTCTGAGGGTAGGTTGGCCTAAAATAAGTATGCCTAACAAAACCGCAATTAATATTAATTTTAATATCGAGTCAAGTAAGTACATGTCACGCTCTTCCATCTTATATCTAAGGTTCCTTGTGGGTAATATGCGTGACACTCGTCCGACCGGTCGATCGATGGTTAGTGTTATCGATACTCGATAAATTGATCGCTTCCCCGTAAGGGAGTGCCACTGGCCGGTCAGTGTTTAACGCGAGGCGCTTAGGGGTGGCTGCTAATAGTTCGAGGGTGTCAGGAGTTGCGTGCGCTCGGGAGCATCTCAGATTCTAATCTGACACTTCCGTCGTGGCGACAATTACGCCGGCGGTGGCCATCGCAGCGCGCACGTGTGTGCGTGTGTCCTAATGCCGGCATTAACGGACCCTCCAGTGCCAAGGGAGCGCGCGCGACATACGCAGTGCTCGGCGCGCGGCGCGCGACTGTGTGCGGACGCGCGCTGCGCCGCTTATATACCCCCGCGCCGCCGCGCTTCGGAAATTGGCCGCGCGACGAAACATCTGGTGCTAAACGTTAGATAACCCGCGCTGCCGAACAGGTTGACCAACTGCGCCGATTATCTGACCGGTGTCATCGGTGGCGTGGCCGCCGGTGATAACGCTCGCCCTCGAGGAGGGCTGTCATTAAAAACGCTTCTTTCCTTCCGCGCGCGCCCAATTCGTGCCGGTTCTCACGCGTTAGGCTTAACCTCGGGGGATGTCATTGAAAACCGTATTTTATTCGATGTCGGTTAATAAAAAGAAAAAATATCTATATATATAAGTTAATATATAAAAACTCCGGTAGACATCGAGAAGAAGGCTCGAGGTATTCACTTTTACGACGGAACTCCACCGATGGAAATGGTCGTGGCCCTCGTTTCCGCCATTTCCGTTTGCCTTTCCCTGTTTGCACTTCGTTCGGCGCCGTGAACGACGCCTCGCTGAATCATTCATTGATAAATAAATACCTCCCGACGGGCGTTAGATCGCTTCGTGCCTCGCGAGATCCTAATTGCCAGATAAAGCGAGACGCGCGCACGAGGGCTCGATCTTGAAAACACACCTCGATAAATCATTTTTGAGGCAATAAATATTGTCAAATATTTTATATAGATATAATAAATTGGTAGGATCAGTTTCCAACGAGGTAACGTGGAAAACGTAACGAAAAGTGAAGTAAAGCCCGGAAGAAATTCCCTGACCACGCACCTCTTCCGCGAAGCGTCCGCTCGCGAATTGCGGCCATTTTTACGCGGGCCTCGTTCGGATGTCGCGGATTCCGGGAATATCGGAAACGCGAAGATCGTCCTGCGTTTTTTTTTTTTCCCTGAGCATTCCGTTTCCGTCGTTCGCGTCAGCCGTGCATATTTCATGAGACAATTTCCTCACGACCACAGCGCGTCGGGGCGCCATTTACCGGCGTCGAAGCCGCCCCGGACAGCCTTGGAAACCGTGGCATGGAAACGTCGCGACACGTGGAAACACGTGTAGAGATCGCCGATACATCGCTAATTCTCGAATTAATTTATCGGCCGTTCTGCGTTCCGGGCTTTCGTCCTGATGAATTGGGTTCCCTCGGCGCTTAAATCGCGAACTTTACGGCGCCTCGGCGCATAATTCACCCCGTCTCCACATTGCCTCGCAGAACTCGCGGATAGACACATCCCGCTCTAACCACCAAGACACACGTTTTCCAGATTTACCTAGGAATTTACTAGAAATACGCGAATTAATTTCCGCCTAACCGCGACTCCAGGAATTAAAGATAACCCACGATTCCATCGGCGAAGAAGTCGCGGATAAATTTTGAAAGATGCAAGTACCAAGCATCAGTCTAGGTCGGAAGACCACCGATGGATGTTAAAAAAAAAAATATATTATTGCCTGGCCAACGGCACTCTCGTCCTCGCAAGTACTTATAAACGTACGTGAACTTGTAGGATCTCAGGAGAAAAATATTGGCGATCGCTTATTGACGTTTAAACAGCGTTTGGAATTAATCGGAGAGTCGGGGGAGTCCCGACGCGGAGGTGCGGCGACCTCTTCTTTTCTGGCACTTAAATCGCGAAGATTACGGCGATTCGCCGCACAGAACGCAGGAGAAGTAGTGCCCGTGCGGTTAGGCATGCCACCTCGCATAAGAGCCATTATAAAACTCTTTTTTACGAGGCATTGGTAGGTTACCATCGGGATGTTATTCCGGACCGTATCTCTTAGCGCGTAAACGCGCTCCTAGGCTTCCGTAGATCCGCGAGGACCGACGGGCTATAAATTACGCACTTTACTGTCGCCGTGTAAATGCGCCTTCGAAACGGCCGGGCAGGAATTCCTGAAAAATCCGGCCGGGAAACGGGGAAACGGGGAAACGCGATTATGACCCCTGAACGATCATCCGAGGAGATCGTTCACGCCGGCGGGCGTTCATCTCGCCTTTCGCTCTCTTTCGAGCCCGCCGAAGCGATCGTAAAGGCGACCATCCACCGACCAGGAGGAAGAAAGTACTTTCTTTGAGGCCCGACGCCGCCTTTTCACGCGGAAGGTACGGAGGGATCCGTCCCAGAAGACGGACGACCCGAGATACCGATCAGCTGATCGCTATCAAGAGGGGATCGGAAATCGCTCTAATCACAGGGCGAAGACACCGACCGCGGTGTCTCGTCCTGTTTTGACAGCCTGTCGTCATCGTTAAATCCACCTTTCTACCAGGAAAAATAAAACCGATCCAAAAAAATGGACCCTCTATTTTTTTCCCCAATTAATCTGTGGTAAAAACGTCTTTAGAAATTAATTTGTAAATGATCGCTTTAATAACAGGACGAAGACACCAACCGCGGTGTCCTGTTCTGATTTGATAGCATGTCGTCGTAGTTAAATCCACCTTTTCTCTAGGAAAAATGAAAACGAGCCGTATTATGGATCCTTAACTTTTTCCACGATTCATATGGGATGAGAAACGTGTTTTGAAATTATTCAGTAGATAATAGGTGTATGGTAGGGATTGGAAATGCTTCATGGGGTACGCTTTGGTCGTAGATTCGACGAGGGTTGTGCGGATGTCTACATACAGGGGATTCCGTCATGGCGAGATTAAGCAGAGGCCGAGCCGAGGGCTCCCATTATTAAAATAAATTTATTAGGGCCAAGTGCAAAAAATCGCGGCTCGCAGCTCGGCCCAGGAATTCCCGAGGGCACAAGCGTATAATTATATTGTCATTAGTGGCATCACGCGGGAGATGTTACACGCGTGCGGTGTACTTAGGCCTTCGTGTACTCCATGCCCGGGCGCATACCGCGGCCGGGTTTACACTCGCAAAACCGATTAAAACCGCGGAGGAATAATGGTACCTTCGGTGGTCCCCCTCTCCACTCCTCGAGAAGGGAGTAACATACGACCTCGTAACACAATCCGACATGACTGTAACCGATTAAACACCGCGGACGTATTTTAACGCGGAAGATGCCGCCGGCCATTTTTCCGCCGACTCGAATTACTCGCGAGTAATTCACGTTATACAGCCCAGGCGGTTTTGATGCAACTATACCCTCCTCGAGAACTATTCCCTATTTTCTCTCCCCTCGACAATAAAATGGGAAATGGACAATTCCGTAGAAAGTTGTTTTTCAATTTCTTTTTCCTTGGATAAATTTATTGCCACGTCGAGGTGTTAATATTATTCAGAGGCAAGTGGCAACGAACGAGAAATCGGTCTGGTAATATTGCAGGGCCATCGATCTTCTCTGGCAGTTCGATCGATCGATCGATTTTAGCTGAACGAGCGCGTTAATTTGCGACCCGAGATTGTCCGCGGTTGGCGCTAAACCGACGCGTTATGGAGACGTGCGGCCCCATGAAATTATGCAAATACACGAGCTGCAAGGTGTTTGGATAATTGCACGCATGGTCGACATAATTGCGGCATGCCCTCACTTAAAATCGCATCAGAGGAGTGCCTACTTTGGGCAATTGGGTGGCACGACTCTTGCACCACTTCGGAGAGCTCTTCCTCCAACTTTCCCCCGCCATTTTGTAATGATGAGCCGCGCAAAAAGCGCATTTGTGCGAACTTTTTCAAGCTCGCTATTTCCCTTTTTTCTTGAGTCTCTTCCGATTGGACCTTTCGTTCTGCCTCCCTGTTTTTACATCACGGTGCGTTTCACTTCGTCCTCTATTTTTCAGTTTTTTTTTTTAACAACAAATATTACCCCCGACGATCGAGTCTCGAACTTTTCGCAGCAATTCGGCGCAGTCTTCTGCCGGAATTTTTTAGATTTTTTAGACCCGCTGCTGGGCCCCGAATTAAGTAATCTTTAGACAGGTGGTAAACCGTAGGTCAGTTGCATTCTAATGATACGTGACCAGGCTGGAATTATCTAGCCAATCGCCGTGATTTCCGAGATAATTCCAGGTTATCTTTAATTTGATTCCAGGTTGATTGTTGGTCGGGCATAAAAAATACCTCTAGAAGAGGTACTAACTATTTGTTGGTTTTGGTCATCTTTACGAACGCCATTACTCTCGCTCTAACAAGACATTAAACTCGGCGGTTTCGGTATTATCTTGTAGAATTATCCGGCAAATAATTACAGAATTATTTTTACTGAGCAGTAGTCTTACCTTCGTCTTGCTTCCTCCGATGCTGCCGGGTCGTATGCTTCCGGTCTCGTAGAAACGCGTGAGGATCTTCGAGACGCAGCCGTGCGACACCAAAAGTTGTCGGGAAATGTCGCACGGTCTCACGCCAACGAGGGCAAGTTGCACGATTCGCTGTCTCACGCAGTCCGGAAGTGGTCTTCCATTCACGAAATGGCCACCCAGCTGATTTACCCCAACTTGACCTGGAACAATTTATTTCCACTTTTGTTTCGTCTTTTCTGCCTTTTATTTTTCTCCACCGACGATTCAGGAAGTCGCGTCCTGGTGCTATTAGACCATGGCGAATCGTCCAGACGACGTGTATAAATTTTCGGCAGAAGAAATGAAAAATGACAGAAATAATGGAAAAAGGGGGGCCGACGGCTTCCTTCCCTCTCCTTCGAGGACAAAGTAGCTGCGCGCAGGAAACGGCAGGAAGAAATCCGCTAATAGCCCGAGGATGACATTAGGGGTTGGCAGGTGCTTTCACAGCGGTTTGCTCTGTAATGACATCGGCGAGCACCGAAAGATCCCAGCCTCGCGTGTCCCTCGATGGAGAGATGCGCAATTATTTCCCCCGGGTGTCTTCTTCGAGTTGGACACCCTAGGCGAAAATCGTTTCCTGCGAAAATCGACCCCCGGAACTCTTCGGCAAGCTTCCTTCTCAGCCGCCATTTTGGTCCACCTGCTGTTCCTCTAAAAGACATCGAAGGACTAAAACAACGCTCGGACGTCGCCAGTTTACCCAGGACTACCTCGATTTCTGAAATGAGTTACTGATACAGAAATTGGAAATAAATAAAACCGAATCTCGAGGGTCACCCCATCCTACTTCGACCCGCGGGCGCGACGCTTAACCTCCCATGCGAATGCAGTTCTGCACGGGGCCGAAGGAGCTCGATAATTGAGTTAATAACGTAATTATCGGGAGTCAGAGATGCAGTAATCAGCAAAGGACCCTGGTTTGCGTCCCTGCGGTCTTTTCAGCCCTTAAAGAGATTATACGTGAAGGCGCGTGGCTCGATTCGTATGGTAGGCGCGCCGCGGTTATGGCTTTTTTTCCAACCCGTTCACCGCATCCGTCTACCGATCTGTCGGATTGAGTCGTCCCGGTAATTACAGGACGCCCTCTTTTGTCCCGATGGATCGCTAAGGCGTCCCTTTAAGGCGCCGATCGCTTCCACCGGAGTTTGGACCTGTCACCGTGAACTTCTTCCTTTTTTATTAATCAAGCTCTGGGGATAATTATATAATTGCCCGGCGTCTCTCTGTTAGGACTCTTTAAATAATTCATAAATTCGCGGAAACGGTGGGCCCTGAAATTATTGACGCGGCCTCTGAAATGAACATATTTCCGTGGATGAATGCAATTGGCGTTGGCACTGCTAAGGGGTTCTTTTTCCGAAATAAATTTCGCTCGGAGGCCTCATTATGGGTGCACTTGGTCGATTCCGTGAGTAATTTCGGCGTTATTTCGACGAGGAAGGGTTGGCCACCCTCCGGCCTCAGGGCTGATATCCACATCCTCTCGAAATTACGTGGACGCGTAAGCAGTTAACGGCGGACAGTTGTACGAGCCGAAATATGGGCAGGGGTAAATTATTATTGCGGCAAAAACGGTGCAGAAGGTGGGCCGTATCTACATAAAATCTGCGATGGCACTCAACGTGGAATAATGAGAAATGTGCGACCATCAGCCCTCTCCTCCGCTTCCACACCAATCATCTCGTCGCCCTGTAATCTCTGCAGTCAGTTGGCCAGAAACTCGTTAATCTGCCATTTTACAGCTGTTCCAAATACTGCCAATTGGAGGCAAAGAAATGTACCGACGAAATGCAAAAGTTTCCATTCCCTTGAACTGCTGAACAAAATTGACCTTAAGAGACTCCAGTTATACAAATTATTATTTATGAAAATAAATTCATACCAAAACGATTATTTAACTACACAATGCGAGTGATGTGGCTTTCAGCGACCTTTTGGATAACGCGCCTCCAAGCATAGGAGGCCATGGTTGTCAGCTCATTAAACAGCCTAATGACTAAGGGGTCATCGAGTTTACTATCGGCCCGTCTACGGCCCCGACACCATATCTCCATTAAACTATAAACTATAAACAGCCTGGTATGCGATCGTAATAGCGATAATAATGGCAAGCTTAGAATTAGCGAACTAATACGCCGGACCCGATGGCCACCACGGCCACCATTTTTGTACCAAACGGTACCACGCACCTGCCTAACTCAATGGCTCCTTTACTCGTTCACGTATGCAATTTTGGAAATGCTTAATTTGTAAAATATCTCGGCAATTATTTCCTTCGTTATTTTCCTGAATTAAAAAAATTTCTTTCAAGGCGAGCGGAACAGATATCCTCGAAAAAAGGGGAGCCGTAACGGGGGGGCCATTAATCGCCGCCACCGTAGCCGTCTCTGCTCGATCCGGCACATAAATTAGTCCGTTAATTATCGTCAAAAACGCCACCTAAATCGTAATCTAACCGTTCCTCGTGTTTACAACGTGGCGACGAGCGTCACTACGTCCGAGGAAGGATTTCAATTTTACTGCCGGGTCGAGGCGTCCCTATGATCTCGCCGGCGGTAGCTGGTCTCACATACCTCCATCGAAAAGACCATAACCGATGAGGGAGTTTAGTGTCGGCATCCTAGATGGATCCTCAAGAAGCGATTTTTTTCGACCTGGTCTCACGCATGCTTCTTTCGAGCTTCCTCGTTTCCTCGCTCCTCTCGGAATTCCCCCCATCCGCGGATAAGTAAAATTTATATGATTTTAATTCAGCGACAAAAGGAATTAAAGAAAATGATAAATGACTTAATTATTCTGGATTCTTGTCGGTCTAAGGTTTGGAGTTTCTGCTTGAATTTTGACTCACCTGTATGAGGCATCCTGAGAGGGCGTCCGCGGCTTCCTGAAAGTAGAAAAAAAAATTCATATGAAATTTTATCGGGCATACTTTCGGGTAATTTCTAGCTGGTCTCGTTCCCCTCCACCGGGGTGGCCAAGAATCGCTGCGACCGACAAGGTAAAGCCAGGTCCTAATGAATTTAAATGTATTCAAAGGGCGCGCTTGACGCTTGACATGGCAACCCTTAAATATGCAACCAAACCGATAAGGCCGAAAGCGCGGCTAAATATTACGACACCGTACCGTGACTCTCATTCTCCGCATTATGGGGCGAAATGTTATACACGATAGTGTAAAAAAACCGGGGCCCATTATATTCATGACCGTCCTTCGTAATCGTCCCTCCTATGGCGAGAGATTTTATTAAGGGCCCCCGGATATATGTTTTCCCTGAAATTCGGTATTCGCATGCTCGCTTAATAATGCCTTAAGTGAATTCTCCAGCCCTTCCTTTCACCCCCGGGCTGTTTTATATATTATAAAAATTACAACCTACACATTTGAAGGCGCTCGAATAATTTCACGCACTTATGTCGGGTATCATTTTGAATGGGATTTTTCCTTGATACCGTTCCAGGGATAGATATCATTTATCCGATTACTTCGAAATCGAGTACCCACGGAAATTTGTACAGTCGAAGGCGCGAATCGACGCGTCCACCGGAGGAGGCGACGTTGGCGAAACCGCAGAAAAGTCAGGAGGAATGCGTGCCAAGCGTGGCGGGTGGCGTGTACTTTGTGATGCAAATTAATGCGCGATTACCGAAGCAACCCCACCGACGGTCTCACCCCCGGCGTCACCGGCGGCCATGCCTTCCGCGGCCGAGGTTACTTCGTGCACATTACACGCGTACCCCGCTCTAGGTACATAAGTACGGTCAACCCTAACTCGATGCTTAACCCCACATTAAGCCGGTTACACGGCTCGCGAGGCGCCCAATCTGATTTAATTATTACACGTTATACGCTTTCCATTGAAACCTGAAAACGCATCCAAAATAACCGCCCAAGTGCGCAGGATATTAAAATTCGGTAGTTAACGTTAAAATTAATATCCCTCCCCGTGATTTACGGATTAATACAAGGACTTAAGGATCTCTCCGGTAGAGTACCTTTCAACCCAGAGTCATTTCTTAGGCTCGGGAGTCAAAATTCGGGATCCCTCCCGAATTAACGAGATTCTAGACGCGCAACCCTGCACTTTTCATTCCGGGGGCCCGATTTTCGAAAGGTCTCTTTACCGGGTCGGTGCTTCCGGGCACGAGAGAGATCCCCTTCTCAAAACACCCCTCATCAATGCTGGCACGTACGGCGCCCAAGGCTGAGCCGCTTTCGACGGATATTAAATTACAAGATGCTCTCCCGAGGCGCGAGACTCGGACTTTCGCCTCAATGGGAATCGGCCGGTCGCATCGCGCTCTTCGTCGGTCGAGTTTTTTCCGAGGGCATCCTTGTTCCTGGCCGATACCGCCGGCTCTGGGCCCCTCTCCTGCCCAGAAGTCACCGAAGTAATGAGGATTGAGCGATTATTATAAATCAAACGGTGCCCGCGGTGAACGCGCCGCGCATTTCTCGCGTTCTTCAGGTTTTGCAGGTCTTTGCTCTGGCGAACACGTGTCCGGACCGAGACAGTTTCTAGCTCTCTTCCGCCGATTTCGAAAACTGACCTCGCCACAATGATCAGACCAATGACCCCGCCTGAATTTCCATTTCATAATAACATTTTTTTTTCAAGGCCGAATTCATGGACAGGGGCACAAAAATCATAATCGCGACTCAACTGACCATAATTCCACTGTCACCACTTTCCGCCCTTCCCGAAAGTCGCGATAAATATGTATAACCTCTAATTAGGATAGATCGGTGGAAGCAAGGAAGAATGTCGGGATATACGTTATCCTTGGTCTTTATCGTATGCTTTGATGGACTTTCTACGTTTTATAAAGGTTTCGATCGATTTGAAGGGCCGCATTGAGAACCACCGCGGCGAATCGGCGCTAAGGTCACGCTTTTACGTGTAAGCCCCGTAAGCGAAATCTAGTTTTTGTTTATTCATTAGGCGGCCGTACTTTAAGTGGTACGTAGGCCTCGCAAGGGTAGCCGTATCTCCGATACGCCACCAGCTATAAAAATCTGAATATATTAGACCTACATAAGCACGACATCTTGCACGGATCGCGAATCGCATTACCCCGATAATCTACCCTCGTTTTAGACCACTTTACCAGTTTACGCACGCCGCGGAAGTCCCTCAACCCTTCCATGAATTTATACCCCCTGGCGATTCTCGACCACCACCTTCCGACTCCCCGAAAAACAGCGACCTCGTCCTCGACCACGTCCGGGATTACAGCGAAGAATTGTTTAAATAATCCAGGAGACCCGTTCGACCCCGAAATATCAATCATATACCCTGGCGATAGGAGGATCTGACCCGTGACCCGATCGATCACTCCTTATCGCGGCGAGATATCCTCCAGATTTGCATAGCAGTGAGCGAAGCGCGCGCTTGTACGGACTGCCCAAGGGGAGGGAAAAGAAATGCCGGAGAGATCTCAGGATTCGTGGGGTTTTCGTTTCGCTGTCGAACGAGCGGCTAAGCTTTCAGGCGGTAATTAGAATAATTCGGGCCGCGGTGGTTCACGCCACCCCGGGAGATTTGCATTTTAAATGAAGCGATGGCGTGCCCGGCCGCCCCCCTGGAACTTTGGCTTTATAAGAACTTTAATATTTATCGCGCATATCCAGCGGAAAGTGTCCACGCCTTCTACTCAGACAGTCACGGTATCGACCCTGGACATGTGCCCTTAAGCATGCAGAGATTCGATCACGGGCATACCTGTGTACGTATGCACAGGTAGAGACAGCGTATGAAGGACTCTGCACGTAATTCGCATTCGTGCCGCAGGGTTGTACGTCGTGCGTTATGCGTCGTGGTATGCAGATGGTATTGCGGAAGAAAGTTGATCCAGTGATTGATTTTTAAGACATCTAGTTTCACTTCATTTCCATTTAACTATTCTCGAAATTATTTCGTCGCAAAGATTTTGCCCACACAGGTGCGTCGGCGCATCGAGTGCAGCAAAGTCGCGCGTGCTGTTATGCCTCCTGATATGCAAATATCGGAAACAAACTTGGTCCATTACTACACCCTATCACGCGAAGGAGCCCGGGTATATTTTATATTAAAAATGGGCTCGAGAGGGGACAACTTAAAATCGAAGTGGCGTAGAAGGTTCGATCAGAAGATGGCTCGATGGTTGATACTAGAGTGAAATCGAATTCTCCGATTTCCTCGAAACACCTCCTGCCGACAACTGAATCTAAATTACCGACGTTTACGCCCGTTTAAACGGAAACTCGCCCATGCGTGCCCGTACGAGTGTAATCGTACGTGCTACTCGTCATTTGCGTGCTGCCGAGCTGCACGTGCTGTTACGTGTCTCGGTATGGAGATGACTGCCCCGAAAAGAAGTGGGCTCATTATCCCACAATTAGTTCAAAGTGGCAATCATTGCTCCGGCCCTAAAACCCACGGACTTTTTACTCGTACGCGTAAGAATTTAAATAATTGTTCCACGGGCACTCCCTAAGAAGCAGCCACGTCTTCATCCCAGTGACATTCTCCCGAGTAAATCGGCAGAGACGAAACGTCGAAAGTTCAACAAAATTGCTTAAAGTGACTATCTTCATTCTAATTCCACCTCTACCCTCGTATAAACCGCCTGCAGAGAATTCTCGAAAAATCCCCCAAAATAATCTTAATCCTAATGGCCTGCGACTAATTTGCATGCACCTGAGTGCACTCGCCCTCGCATCGCCCTGATCGCGTATGTAACATCTCCATCGAATCTTCGATTAATAATTCATTACCCGGCAATTACCTGAGGCCGACATTCATTACCCGATCCCGCGACGAGCGTCTGCCTCGGAAACAATTATTATCACATAAACGTTAATTATTATAAATGTTTTAATATTAGTCACCCGTCCAGGGGGCCGATTCTTATGCATTGACCGCTATATATTCATGCCGAGATGTGTAATCACCGATGAAAATATCCGACTCGTTTGCTCGCAACAAAATGCCCATGCAATCAGGCGTGACGGTATGGAGATGGGCAGGGAAAAGAAGTCCCGGGTTATTATTCCGTAATTAGACCTGGAAGGGAGCGAGGAGTCCGCGTCAACGTCATCCCGAGATATCCATTTCCTAATGAGCGCGATACGCATGCGCCACACATGTGGTTATTAATGAATATATTACGCGTAATAACCGATAACCCCAAACGGTCCCGGGCCCAATTTCGGGGAAGTTACCTTACGCGACGAGGTAATAAGCGCGACAGAGCGGTACTTTGCCGTGATGAAGTGCGCCCCCTGAGCACCCGTGCGTTCATTTTTATTAAAGCACCGCAAAGACCTGAGACTCCATACCGTGGATTTGCGGAACACGATTCGTTAGTCTTGGCTCGCCCAATTTTTTATTATATTTTTTCACCGCAGAGAAGCGGTCATTGAACGGAAACTGTAAGAAAATTCCCGGTCGACTCTTAAGACACATTTTCACTGAGGTACTTAATCGAATATCGTAATTTACCCGGATTGGAAATTTTACCGTATCTTGTCAGAAAAGAAAGTTGAGCCTAGGTGGAAACGAAATGGCGGAGGACTTTCCCGGTCGTTAATAGTGGTGCGGGGTCGATCGATGAATAAATAATTGAGAATTTTTAGGGACATGTAGGTACTCACCGATCCTGGAGGTCTCGGCCTTTACGACGATCCTTGCATGTCCTTTCGTCCTGATCGTTCCAGCCCTCGGCTCCAAAAATTCTCTTTCAATCGATCCTCCGCTTGGCGAGTCAACGCGAGCCCAGGTTGTACTCTTCGATCCGCGTGATCACGAGGAGACGATCCTCCGAAGATTATTCCCGGGTGCGATCTTAATCGCGGACCCAGATACCCATCTCGGCGTGGAAA